ATAATTTTCTAAATCTGAAGTTAGTGGTGTTTATGACTTTAGGATGTGCCTCAAGTAAATTGGAAGGTTTTGTTAATATTTGTTTATTACAATCTCTAGTCTTTTCTGCTTGTATGGATTTTCTTTCTGTGGATAGTTGCTGCTTTGGGGGTTATGCTGCCCCCAATTTGGTCTTGTATTCTGTAATTTAAAATTTTTGCTTGACTTACTTTCAGTTCTTATCTCTGGACAATATAAATCTTTGGTGTCTGCTGGTTGACCTTCTGTAAAGTCACGTCTACGTGAATGATATACCCCAATGTTGTTGTTGTTGTTATGTGCTGTCGAGTCGGACCTGACTCATAGCGACCCCTCCTTGGGTTTCCGAGGCAGTATCACTACGGAAGTAGATCACCCCATCTTCCTTCCGAGGAGTGGCTGGTGGGTTTGAACCGCCAGCCTTCTGGCTAGCAGTCAAGTGCCTTAGACACTATGCTACCAGAGCTCCCAATATACCCCAATAGGTCAGTGGAAACAAATGGGAGTTCTTCAATTCAGGTTTGGAAAAAAACAAAACAATCATACTATTCTTGCCAGTACTATTTGCATTTTAAAGGCATGATGTTCCATTCATCAGAATATCAAATTGGTATATTTAATTCACGTACAAACTGTAAAGACTTTGTAAAGACCAGGAAGGAAAAAGAAAATAGGGATTGTTGAAGGTGAGGTATTGATGTGAAACATTTCACATTATACTTAGTAAAATATGTAGGAGTGAAGAATTGGCCTTGTATAGATAGATGAAGTTCAGTTATTCACTTGGACCATAACTATTGTGGTTTTTGGACTTGTTAATCTGTAACATGTACTTGGATCAAAAGTCACATTGTTAATTGTGAAATCTGTTTGATTTGTTAGCAGGGATAACAACATACAATCCATGTAAATTAACATTTGACATTATTGATTCCTTCTCAACATGTAGTCATGGATTTGCTTTAAAATCTTGGAGACTTCTTATTAAGAGATTGAATGGTATAAGCTTCTACAAATTTGCGTAATTATAGGGAATTTCGTAAGACAAACCACTGGTTGTGTTTTAAGTTTTGATCTTTATCATATTCTGATGTTGATAAGATGGTCTGGAGTAATGGGATGATAGTACCTGTCTTAACTTAATTTTCAGTCTTAATTGTTATAATCACAGTTTACAAGTATTATATTAACACAGGTCACTATCTAAATGTGTAATTATTAGCCTGCCCTCCTGTGGATTAAACCTTATTAATTTTGGAAGAATTCATTGACATGGGTTATTAACATTATACATTCTTTTTTTAAATGCATTTTATTGAAATATAATTTATGTACAGTGAAATACACAAAACTAAAGTGACATGAGTCAATGCATTTTTTTTTTCAGTGTTCCCTCCTCTCTCTCCCACCCCTGGCAACCAACAAAAAAAATTTCCCTCCATATATATAAAAACCTTTCCTTGACCCTCCACAACAATGAACTAATACTATGTTTGTCCTTCTGTGATTGACTTATTTCACTCAGCATGATGTCCTCCAAGTTCATCCATATTATGCAGTGTTTTGCAGACTCTACATTATTCTTTAGTGCTGTATAGCATTTCAGTATGTATACGTACCATAGTTTGGTCATCCACTCTTCTGCTGATGGGCACGTAGGTTGTTTCCATCTTTTTGCTATTGTAAATAGTGCTGTGATGAACGTGAGCGTGCATGTATCTGTTCCTATCCTGGTTCTCACCTCTCTAGGATATATATCACATTATACATTCTTTTTACCTACCATTCAGCCTAAGAAATGAAACATTGCTGCTAAGAATGCTGAAGCCCCTTGGCCTCCTCTCCTAAATCAATCTCCTTCCTAGTCCTCTAAGAAGTGAATACCTATCCTGAAATTGGTGTTTATTATTTTTATATGTTGATGAATTTAATAAATAATAGATACTAAAAATATACATATATATGTATATATAAGCTCTGGTAGCATCGTGCCTAAGGCACTTGACTGCTTACCAGAAGCCTGGCCGTTTAAACCCACCAGCCACTCCTTTGTAGGAAGGTTGAGCATTCCTACTTCTGTAGTGATACTGCCTCGGAAACCCAAGGAGGGGTCACTATGAGTCGGGGTCGACTTGACGGCACATAACAACAACATATATATATATATATAGAGAGAGAGAGAGACATGGACAGCTTATTTTTATTCAAAATTTTATTTTTGGTGAAAATACACATAACAAACCCACTCTCATTCTACAGTTTTCAGACATAATGATCAGTGATGGTTCAATTCTTCACATTGTATCAACATTCTTGTTATATCTTTTACAGTTATCACTTGCATTTACTTAATCTCCTTGCCTCCAACCTTCTCATCGATGCTTCAAAATAGCTATGGAACATTTGGTCTTACATAATTTTTTTTTTAAAAAAGTAATGGAAAACTCAAGGGTAACAATCTTTATTCTTTGGATTAAATTGTTCCTTCGTGTAAAGGTGACCTCAGGGAATAGTTTCAGTTTAAAGTTTGAAGAACAACTCAGATTCGTAGCCTCAAGGACTCCTCTAGACTCAATAGGTCCAGTAAATCTGGATTCTTTAAGAATTTGAAGTTTTCAACATTATTCTACATCCTATTGTTGTGAATAGTGAGTGGGATCTTAAAAGCTTGTGCATTTTTAAGCGCGGGCGGAGGGGGGAAGGGTAGGGAACACTGCAAAAATAAAAAGTAAAAAAGCTTGTGAGAAGTCATCTGAAATGCAACTATTAATCTCTCCTCATCTGGAGCAAAGCTGAGTGTGGAAAATTAAAGATGTATGGAAACAATTAGTCCAAAGGACTAACTGAGCATGGGGCTTTCGGCCTACATGACCCTGAAACCAGAAGAACTAGGTGGTTTCTGACGACCAATGCCAACCACTCAGAAAGGGATTACATTGGAGATCCTGGATAGAGAGGGAGAAAAAGGTGGAAATTCAAAAGCAGGATTACTGGTCAGACAGGGACTGGTGAAACCCTTGAGACCCTAATCACTATTCAGGCCTGAAACTGAACTCACACCCGAAGCTTAACTCTGAGCCAAATAATAGATAGGCCTATGAGCTGAACAGTTGCACCAGGGAGACAGTCAACATTGGGAGGTCAGAAGGGAAGCATTTATGCAGGAAGAAATCTAGAGAGGCAGAAATGCACAGGAAAGAAGGCCGCAGGGAAAAGGTAACCACCGGGAAGAAGTGGGAAGAGAGCTGTTACATTGTGGGGATCGTAATCAATGTCATGCAGCAAAATGTGTGTGAACTATTGAATGGAAAACAAATCTGCTCTGTAAAATTCAAATCACAATAAAAAGTTAAAGAAAGAAAAGAATTTGAAGTTCTGTTCCATATTTTTCTTCCTTTTTATCTGAATTTCTTTCTTATTTTCTGGACCAAAATGTTCAGTAGTGGTAACCGGTGACAGGTAATTTTAATATGATAGAAGATACCTTTTATAAGGGCAAAATCTCACTTGTTTAATATTACAGAAAAATGCTAGTAGTTTAATCCTAGCAAGCAGTTTTTTCTTTTTATTCTATCCTTTATTTGTAAAACTTCTTATTTTGAAATAATTACAGATTTACAGAGAGTTACAGAGAGGTTCTGTGTATCCTTTACATAGGTTCTTCTGATTGTTACATCTTACATAAAGATAACAAACAAAACCCAAACTCTCTGCTGTTGAGTTGTTTCCTACTCGTAGCGACCCCCTCCTTGCATTTCTGAGGTGGTATTTCTACAGAAATAGATTGCCTAGTCTTCATTCTGAGGAGTGGCTGGTGGGTTTGAACCGCCAGTCTTCTGGTTAACAGTCAAATGCCTTAGGCACTACACCATCACAACAGTATAAAAAATATGAAATTGACATTGGTACAATGTGTGTGCATAGTTCTATGCCATTTTTTCATATGAGTAAAGTCCGGTAACCACCACTGCAATTAAGATAGACAACTATTCCATCACCACAAAGTTCTTCCTCTTACTAACCGTTTATAGTCATACCCACCCTTCCTTGCACCATCCTTTACTCTTGGCAGCTGTTAATCTGTTCTCCATCTTTATAATAATTTTGCCATTTCAAGATTATATAAGTGGAATTACACAATATGTGTGATCTTTGGAGATTGACTTTTCACTTAACATAATGCCCTTGAGGTCCATCTAAATTGTTTTGTGTGTAAATAGTTCCTTCCTAGTTCTGAGTAGTATTCCATGGTAGGGATGTACCACAGTTAATAACGTTCATCTAGAGAAGGACATCTGACTTTTTTTTCATGTGGACTTAATTTATATTTCTCGAGGTATGTTTTGTTGTAGTATGGGTAGTATTGTAAAGGCATATTAAGTTTTTTAAGAAACTGCCAAACTGTTTTGCCAAGTGACGGTACCATTTTACATTTCCAAAAGGAATGCATAAGAGATCTAGTTTCTCTGCGTTTTTGTAACATTTGCTATTATCACAATTTCTTGTTTTAGCTCTACTAATAGGTGTCTAGTCATAGCTCATCATGGTCTTAATTTGCATTTCCCCAATGGCTAGTGACTTTGAGCATCTTCGCATGTGCTTATTTGCCTTTCATACACTCTTTTCAGTAAAGTCTCTTCATTTCTCTGCCCCTTTTCTGATTGGATTGTTTGTCTTTTTACTGTTGAGTTTTGGGAGTAATTTATGTTTTCTAGATATGTGTGCCTTGTCAGATATGTGGTTTGCAAGTATTTTCCTACCAATAACAACCAAAAGATTTAAAATACTAGTGCAATTTCTTTAATGCTTACAGGTTTATTTAGGTTTTCTACTTTTTCTTCAGGCAAGTATGTAAATTACATCAATTGAGAATGACTATTTTGCTATGTCTTCAGCTGTAAATATTTTGAGAGTATTAAAATAATGGGAGGTATACAAGAATACTTCTCAAAGTTTACATTTTATTTTATGCTCCCTATCAGGTACTCAAAAGTCTGACAACTTTGCTGAAAAAAGACCCCTCCTTGGTGTTTGTAAGAGCATTGGATCTTCTGGGTAAGGACATCTAAAAAAAAGTCTTTGAACCATGATTACAAATGAACTATTTATACTATCATTCCAATATCTTCCTTTTTTTTTTGCTCTTTAAATTTTTTTTTGTTTTCTTGTTGTTGTGAATATACACAGGAAAACACACACCAATTCAACAATTTCTAGAAAATAGTATCATTGATTACATTCTTGGAGTTTTGTAGTCATTCTTACCTTCTTTTTCTCAGTTGTTCCTCCCTTGTTAACATAAACTCACTGCCCCCTAAGTTTCCTATAATCTTTCAAATTGCCATTGTCAATTTGATCCCATATAGATAGTTCTTAAAAGAGCATAATGCTCAAGGCAGACCACTTTTTACTAGTTAAGCTAAACTATTGTTCAGACAGGCCATCTAGAGCTAGTGAAATATTTCTATGATATCATTAATAGGCTCTTTTTGACTTTGACATCCTAAGAATATGACTCCTATTTCTCCAAAAACCAAACCAAACTCACTGCCATCCAGTTGATTCCAACTTGTAGCGACCCCCATTGGGTTTCCAAGGCTGTAAATCTTCACAGAAACAGACTGCCTCATCTTCCTTCAGTGGGTTCAGACCACTGACCTTTTTGGTTAATAGCCAAATACTTTAACCACTGTACCACCAGAGATCCCCAATGATCTCACAATGGCTAGTGTCCTTTTAGTTAGACCACATCGTAACTCCAGAACTCCTAGATTCAGGAAAAGCTGGGAAGTAAGTCTTTTCTGTAGATATTTATTAGATTTTCACCCTTCCTTCACAACCTTTTAGGAAACTTAACATGCAAAATGGAAATAAAGAGCTAACCTAAATTTTAAATAAGAGTATCACAATATATGTTGTTAATATGAACTTTTCAAATCTTTTAATCATGATCTTTCCAAATGTTTTGTATATATTAACGTGTGTGTGTGTATATATATACACATATACATATATGTGTGTGTGTGTATATATATATATATATATACACACACACACACACACGGACACCCACGGACACACACACACACACACACACACAGGAAAACATTTGACAACCAGAACTTGATGAGACTGCCTTGTTTTTCCAGGTCTTACAAGTTTTCTGTCTTTGATAGTGACAAATATTTGAGTTTCCTTCTCTGACAGATTTCCAAGGAGCTCTGATAGTGCAGTGGCTAAAGCATTCAGCTGTTAAAGAAAAGGTCAGCAGTTTAAACCTGCAAGCCCTCCATGGGAGAAAGAGGAGGTAGTCTGTTTCCATAAAGATTTATAGTGTTGGAAACCCTGTGGGGCAGTTCCACTCATAGGGTCACTATGAGGCAGAGTCTAGTCAACAGTAGTGAGTTTTGTTTGGGTGGTACAGGTTTGCACTTGACACAGGTTCTGGTTTTGCAGGTTTTCCTAAAAATATGAAAAATAGTTAAGTAAAAAGGGAGTTAATGTTTTTAATCTTTTTTTTTTATTATGTAAAAAAATACGGAGTTTAATGTTTAAGTTTATATTTAAGCAGTAACTTCTTAGAAAAGTTTTTGTTATATACATATTTGTAACAGTATTTCTACAGAAATGGAACATAGTTAATCAGTTAATCAGTTTTTCAAGGTAGAAAGATACCTCCCCAATTTTGTATTTCTTTACTTTAACACATTGTTTAGTGAATTACCTTTAGGCATATATGCAAAACCAACAGCTAACATTATTCTCAATGGAGAGAGACTGAAACTCTTCCCCTTGTGAACAGGAACCAGACAAGGATGCCTTCTATCACCGCTTCTATTCAGCATTGTATTGGAGGTGCTAGCCAGGGCAATAAGGCAAGAAAGGGAAATCAAAGGCATCCAGATTGGTAAGGAAGAAGTCAAACTATCCCTATTTGCGGATGATATGATCCTATATGGTAGCTCATATAGGATCATGGTAGCTCATATAGGATCATACCATGATCCTATACATAGAAAACTTAAGAGACTCAGTAAAAAAACAAAACAAAACAAAACGAAAAAACAACTGCTGGAACAATTGAGAGATTTAGCATAGTGGTAGGATACGAGGTCAACATACAAAAATCAGTTGGATTCCTCTACACCAGCAAAGAGATTGCTGAAAAGGAAATAAGGAAATCAATACCATTTACAATAACTACCAAAAAGGGGATTACCTTTACATGATAGCAGTAATATACAAAGGACATGGGTATTTAAAAATAGAGGTAGCTAATTTAACAAACACTATTTAATAAAGAAAAATGCTTACTTTTATCTAATTTAACATAATTTCAAGAAAGGGCAAGAACTCCCTTACCCCTAATTTTTTAATAAAGTGACAAAAAGTGGGAGGCACTTGAAGAAATAGTGCAGAGTGTCAAAGAATATGATTGTGTCCCATGTACTTTGAATTAAAAGGCTTGAGTTTGAAGGACATAAATAGGCAGAAAGTGAGTAAACACTCAGTGGGTAAATGGAAAAAACTGAAATAATAGAGTAGAAGAGTAATTAAGAGACAGCAAGAATAGAAGTGATGACGTAAGTCGAATAGAGATGGAGAATGCCATACGTGATTATGTGGTGTATGCTAGGAGACATTGTTTAATGTCACATGCACTTTGAGAATGTAGACTTTATCTTATCTGACTATTTCCTTCTATGTATTAAAATAACACAGTGTCTTTTATTTCGTAGGGCCAGAAAATTTGTTTTTGACTACATGAATATTCATAAGCTTGTTACGCAGTTATCTTAGTCCTTTTGTTGAATGTTATTTGGCTTTTTCTGCATGAGCACTGCTTTTAATAGGAGGAGTCCCATGTATTGCACCTGGGTGTTGACATCTTTTTCAGTCAGTAGTGTATAAAACTGTAGGCCCCTCCCTACGCTCTCATGAAAGAAATACAGGTTGTCGTCGTTGCTTTCTGTCCCCTGGCAACTGTGTTAGTGAGCAGCGGCTGGATTGGACTTTGTTGACTGTTCATATAAACATCATTGCCCATTTACAATAACTATTGTAAATGGTAGTTATTCTTGGGAAAAGCCAATAAGAATTTCTTTTTTGATATATACTTTTTATTTTCATAAATTATAATTTAAAGGAGGAGAACAATAGCTATGGAAAGAATACATCCTCCCTTATCGTTTCTTTAGAAATAAACATATTGCACTTAGCCTCAAATGGAAAAAACTGGCTCTGTTGCAATGATGACAATCAAATTAAAATGGCATTGATTTCCGCATCCTAGTTTTGTGGTTGTTATTATTGTGAGAGATTGTACCATCATCATTCCATTTAAGGTTAAAGCTGTTTAAGGTTTTGGAAGAAGATAATGTTTATGGGACTACTGATCCAGGGATTAAGCCAGTATGTTGTGTAATAATTTGAGGGAGGCAGTAGAAATGTGGACATTGTCTAAGGAGTATATACTCTTAGGAAACCAAAGTTCATTGTGTGTTATATGTTGAACAGTTCCCAGAATGTTGCTATTTATGGTTAGGATCTTGTTGGCTACTATGAATAACAGCAAAGTGTAACATTATTTAATAGCTGACTGCAGACGTTGAAGACTGTTCAGTCCAATATGTTATGAGCTCAAATTATACATATTATGTTACCTTTACAATGTGAGAATCATAGAATACTGTAAGTGGAAAGTACCTTGAAGGTGATATAATTTAGTTGTCTCATGATATGGCGTAGGAAATGCTTGGAAGTGAGAGAAAATTTCTTAATCTCAGTTGGTTGGGAATACCTCATTTTTTTGTTATAGAGAGTACTCTATGGCTATAGTTTCCAAGCGTTTGGATTTTAACAATCAGAAAATTAATTTTTATTTTTTTTGCCTTGCAAGAACATTAAAAACATAATGACTGTCTGTTACAGCTTACTTTTACCTTGAAGAAAACAAAGAATTTTAATAGTACAATAGAATGAAGGACTTGATTTCAAAATTGAAATTTGTTAATTACATAGAATACATTTAGCTCACAATATTAATAGTTTTCTAATTTTGTTACAACATGCCAAAAATGTCATCTTGGGTTGACAGAAGTCTGTGGACTACTATTTGGAAGCCATTGCCCTGAAGCAGTCATTACTTATGTGAAAATTAAATGTAGTTTCATTGTCCCGAGATGGTACTGAGAAGTGGTACTGAAAAAACTTTTTTTCAACTTCTGTTTAAAGCAAATATGGGTTATGTTAATTAGAACTAGAATAGAAATTGCTTAGTATGTGACTTTTCTTTTTGTCACAAAATGTTCCCTAGACCTTACATGTGATATTAAGCATTTCCAGTTTGGCCAATTCTTCTCCTGTCACGTTTGTGAGTCTGATGGAATTACATCTTTGCTGTATGACTTCAAGGAGTTCTGGTGGTGCAGTGGCTACGGCATTGGGCTGCTAACCAAACGGTCAGCAGTTTGAACCCACCAGCTGCTCTGTTGAGAAAGATGAAGTATTCTGCTTCTGTAAAGATTTACAGCCTTGGAAACCCTATGGGATAGTTTTCTCTATCCTGTAGAGTTGCTGTGAGTTGGAATTTACTCGATAGTCAATGGATGGAGGTGGTGGTGTATTACTTTTGCAGGCTTTGAAATAGATTTATGCTAATTCCAGTCTGTTTTGACATGGGCGTTTTCAGCAGTTCTTTGGTTTTCCATCAGGCATGAAGTTTTTTGCTTGCTCATCTCTCTGGTATTTTCCAGGTCTTCCATGGGTGTTCTGGCTTTTTAGTCTAGTTCTTTCCTCCACCATTACTATGTGGCTGTCTTGACTGCTTGCAAAGAATGGTTTTCACATCTTAGGGATACCATGTGTGCTGAGAGCTCAAACTGACATAAAGGTTTTTAATATGAGATGGGTCAGCATACTAGAAGACCTAATGTCATGAGTGGTTTATGGGCCTTTGTACTTTAGTGTTATCGTAGAGCTACCAGAGTATGCTAGACATGATCCTTTTTGTCATATCCCACTGGATCAGCAGCGGGAGTGGCTCTGAGGGACAC